ATGTTTTGATCTTCACAATCACTTGCAGTGTTGGAAAGCTGGTGTCCTATGATGTTGCCATGTGGAAAGTCACCATCTATTATACTGCTGATGATTGTTCCAGGAGGTTGCAGAACTATGTGTTTAACTATATACCTGTGTCAGCAATGGGTGTCACTTAATTAGGCAGTTCGTCTAATTAATAGGGGTGGCCACATACCTTTTGGCCATATGGTGTACGACAAGTCCCAGCATCCTTTTGGGGCCCATCAATTATTTCTTTTAAAAAGGCGTGCTCGTGCACACTGACTGTCGCGTAATCACGCCGGAGATTAATCGCATTGTCATCATCCTGTGCTGCTTTTGATCTGCTCCCCCGTGTGACAGGATTCAGGATCTGGGTGATGATGACAAAGGGCAAGCGGCGTCATTGTCTGCTTTCTTGGTGTCAGGTAGCACCATGAAGGTGCCCCGTGATGAACCATGATGGGTTCAGTCTGGCCGGGACCTGAGGGCCCCTTGGACCGGCTGCTATGTCGTCTTCCATCTAACGTTGTCCGGTCATGATGCTTAAGCACAGAAAGACATCAAAAATCTGCTTTGCTGCCACCTGTATTGCTTGATCTTTGCTTACACGCAGAAGCCCCTCCCTGGAAGGTGAACTTGAGAGCAGCATCAGCTGAGTGCTGGATAAACAGCCAGCTGTTCCTTTCCACCTCCCTCTGATGTGGGCTCTGTGTAACTTTCTTTAAAGAGCCTGATTCTCTGCGTCACCCAGCGAGGGGGGGGGGATTGTGTGATCGTCCTGTTCCAGAGCCCCCATTTTGCATTTCCAGTGGTACACAGATGTTGGAGACATTGCAGCCCCCCCACTGTGGCCTGTTATTCCAGATGCATTTTTTTTTGGGGGGGGGGGGCTTGAAGGGAAGCTGTTGCTTTCATGTGCGTTGCATTACTCCTGCTGTAGACCTGTTGCTGTTTCTGCTGTCAGGAGTAGGGGGTGCGGGGGGGCTTGGAGTAAGAGCAAGGCCCCCTCCTTTCAGAACTCTGGAGAAGCAGGAAGGAGGCTCATTTCCTGTCCCTGGGACATACGAGATGTTGATGGAGCAGTATCAGCCATCGTGTTTGGATAGATGTGTGTATTTATTGTTCTGTGCTGTATGACTGTCTGTCTGTCTGTCAGGCTGTTGCTGTGGGTGCTGCTCTTGCCCATAGCGGCCCGATTATCCAATCAGGAGCCCCGCTGTCCTCCATTCACAGAAAGCCCGCTATTGGTGCGCAGATGTCTGCTTTGTAGTGAACGAACAGGAAATGGTCCTTGATGGCGGCATTAAAAGAACAGGTTTTTTTTCCCCATTTATTTTCATAACGATGTGGGAAAAGTCTTTTATACAGAGGATGTGGTCTGTTTAAAGGAGAACAATTAATATGCGACTTGCCGCTTTTCAGCGCCACCTGCGACCACGGGTGGTCGGCAGAGCCTTTTCGCGAGCAGAACCCAACCAAAAAGCCAGGCTGCCCAGGTCCCGGGCAAAGCAGAATGTCCTGCGTAAGCATGTGGTCGAGGAATATCACCGTTTCCATGGGGAATTGGGAATCGGATGTGCGTCATATAAACCAGGGGTCTGCCCATGACATCTTACAGCTCAAAGTGGAATCTTCTCTGGCTTCATTCGTAACCTAGTTAGGTGGCATCACGTTATTAACGTACAGCTATTTATGGCCAAGTCGCAGTCATTGGTTTATTTCTTACGTAATGTTTTTGTCTAAGTGTCATCGCATTGCCTGCAGCCGTACTTCTCTGGTGCTCTGTAGATGGGTTAGATGCTGCCGTAGATGATGTCATCATCGGGTGTGTCCTCTCAGGTAGTCTTTGACAAATCCGGTGTTTCTGAGCCGGTACACCAGCTAATTCCCCAGTTAATGCTGCCCATTCTTCAGTGTGGTTGAACTGGATCAGCTGGTATTTTCAGCATCATGTCAGCCAACAGTCTTACTCTGCATTCATGCCATCCGCCTGTTTTGTTTTCTTTTCTTATCTGAAGAATACCAAGCTCGTTCAAAGGCTTTCCACCTAGACCTCGGCACAGGAAGAGTGCTCACCAGGCCAGAGAGCAATCGGTTCTTTACTCATGTATGCATTTTTCTTGCATTGGAATAAATGGTTTTAGCGGCTGGTATGGTAAATGGTCCAGCTCGTTAAAATATGGATTGCTGTCCCCTCTAATTTCCTATGGCTGCTTGGCCTACGACCATACTGGAGAAGAAAGTGGGACGATCACTTTGGACAGCCTGTCTCCTGTAGATGTCTGCTGGTTTTGGGCCGGATAATAGTGTTGGCTGAAGGTGATAAGCAAGCAGAATGGTTAACAAGGAGGGAACCTAGTGGCATTCAGAGGACAGTGATTTATTTGCTAAATATACTTACCAGTTGGTAGTATGGACTTGCAGTGGTGAACACTGTATGAACTTCATTCTTCTTGCTGCAAGCTAAAGGGAAGGAAGAGCCATCGGACAATGGGCACCATTGCTGTGAGGTTCCCCAGTTTGGTACACAAGGGTTGGTGCCTTGAGCGAGATTCTTATCCTGAATAGTGAATCATCCAGCTGTGGCTGGCGTGTAAGCGTCAAGGCATCTGCTTAGAGAAACGCGACTCGGCCAAGGGGTGATGTTAAGGCTTCCTCCTCCTTCGGATATGAACCTGCACCCACCTGGTTTCCTTCAGCCTCTGCCATGACATGTGCAACCAATGATGAATTTTAGGGAGTGCGGAAAGGACCACGGGGGTCATGAGGATTAATGACTCCTCACATGAGTCAGTGTGCCGTAAACCAAGGCGAGTCACAGTCATGTCAGCCGCCCACTCCTAGGGTGATGACGGGAAGTAAACACACGCACACACGTTTGAATTTGTATCTTTGTGGGGACCGTGCATTCATTTCTGTGGGAAACAACCTTAACCCCTACCCAGCCCTAACTTTAACCATAAGTAACCAAACAAAATACAAGGCTTTTGCCATTTTTAGGTTTTTGATTGCAGTCAGAGATTTTTGTAAAAGCGAGTGAGAGAAAAAATGTTTGCACAAGGTGGGGAAAAAAACAGGTTATTGGCATTTTTCCTTTTTTGATTACATTCACAGATTTTTATACAATTGAGGTCATCCAAATGGAGACCTGAAAAATGTCCCCAAAAGTAAGGAAGTTTCAGATTTTACCACACTTTGGGAACATTTTGGTCCCCAAATGTGATCTATGCAAACCCACACAGGGGAGTTGACATGAGCTGGTCACTATCTTGCTCACACCTACACATCAAAACATCTGTATATTTCATCTTCCTGGACAATTCATGGTCCTGATTTCCCACATGAATGCTGGTTGCAGGTTTAGCCCGTGTTGTGTTTGTACGGGAAGGGCGTCTCGCCTGTGTTTATTAGAAATGGAGCTGGACGTCACCTTTCGGCCAGTTAAAACGGCACCTTTGCCGATGGCAGATGAAGGAATGCTGGTGGACAAAACAATGGACCCCCACACAGATCCTGCACGGTCAGGTGTGCTTCCCGACCCCTTCGCTCACAGATCCGGCACGGTCAGGTGTGCTTCCTGACCCCTTCGCTCACAGATCCGGCACGGTCAGGTGTGCTTCCCTGCCCCTTCGCTCACAGATCACAGCAGCTCCACCTAGCAGCTCTTACAGCAGCATTTGTGCTTCGATGTTTTTGTCCTCAGCGGTGACAGAGAGGTGTGTGACAGCTGGCAGCTTAACACAGAGGCTTTTGTTTCCCGCTATTTTGAGGACCAATATACTCTAGTGGCCAAAATTGTGGAAACGCTTCCAATATTTAGAGACTGCAGAGATTTATTCAACCGTCGGTCTAGTTACTTATTTAATTGTCCTATGTCTGATATTTGTAACATTCTTTGATTGTTGAAACATTACCGCAAATAGTGGTGTAATAATTTTTAAAACAATGGCAGAAATATTCTAGGTGTATCCACAGATTTGGCCACTAGTGTAGGCTGGTACTTTCTCTGTTCCTTTGAAAGGCATTCAGAGGAGAGCTGCAGAAAGAGCGTTTATATATCTATATCTATATATCTATATCTATATCTATATATTTGGGGCCGCAATGTTTAGGGTGAGTCATCTAGACCTCGATTGCCTGCTGACCAAAATGCCTGGCAAGCAGGCGACTCGCGCTTCGGTGCCGCTGTGCTGCTGGCTTTGCTCAGGAGATGCTGCCCCCCAGCGTTGTGCCAAGGCTGCGATCTCCGTGGCACAGACTCCAGCCGCTTATCTCGGGTATGGTTCTGAGATCCAGCGGATCCCTCAGTCAGGAGTCGGCTCCCCATATGAATCGGCCAGCGGCGGATCCGGCAGCACATGCCAGTCCTCGGTGCTCCAGGGTCACGCTAAGCTCCGCCGGGGGGGGGGGCAGCTGTCCCCGGGGGCCTGCTGGCCGGCCTCACAGGGCACAGCTACTGGGGTTCTTGAAACCCGCGTTCTCAGACCTCTTCTGCTCGGAAAGACCAAAATAATCTGAGACTGTGATCTGCCGCTTATCGCCAGTGAGTAGCATGACATTACCCGAGTTTCTGCTTGAGTTTCACATCACCCCCGGCAGTCTGTGGAACTCAGGAACCATCTGGCCCCCAAAGAGCCAAGGTGACGAGGCCCTGAACCCTCTGATGGGTAGGCGGCTCTGCCTTCGTGTTGCAATCCCTCAGATTTTGTAGCAGGCCATGACCACCTGCCGTAAGTTTAGTCTTTTTAAAATTATTTCACAAAGAACATATTTATGGTTTCACCAGCTCTCTGCACGTTGTGGTGATTGGCGAATGTCCACATGTCGTGAGAGAGAAGATACTGTGTTTTTCCTGGTCACATGCTACTTCATTCTTAGCTGGAATGGGGGGGGGGGGGGGCACCGGGGTCAAATCGGAGGGTGGGATGGGGTTACGGGCACTAGCTGTGCTGACTGTGACTGTGACTGAGACTATCTTGGCTTTGTCCCGACAGTTGGTGACGTAGATGCCCAGGAAGCACGCCATGTTCAAAGCTGTGCTGAAGAAGAACAGAGAGAGCGGAAAGGGGAGCAGAGGGGAGCCAGGTATGTGCGGGGGGGGGTCTTCCTCTCCTTTAATGACCTCTGGGGCCCGACCTTAACCGAGAGAGCGGCGAGGGGTCCGATCCCCATCCACCAAGGAGACAACGTTACTATTTGTCGCCCAGGCTGTCTGGATCATCCTCATTGGCCATAACTGTGCTTGTCTCTCTATGTTCCCTTGGTGTTGGGAGATCCTGTTGTGTTCCATGCACTCTTAACGTCGTACCCTCAAATGGGGCTCTTGCGTAGCGAGTCCACGCTACATTCCGGTAACTAACGTAAACGTGAACATGTTGCCGTTTCGTGTTTCACTTGTCAGAATCCGGCACGTTCTGTGACAGTTTCTAGGCGTACATTTCCGTCACTAGTCAAGCGACAGCCACACCGGAGGATTCAGTTACTCTCCCGAGCTGCTGAGCCGTCTCGGAGCTGGAGGTGGGCAATGCTGAATCCTCTGAGGGTCTAAATTAAGCTGCAAAGCAAGCCTTGCCTCCGAAAAATATTCAGCGGAATCTCATAAAATTTTCAGCAGGATACAGCTGAGCTCTGTCAGGTGTGTCTGTGTAGTTGTGTGCGTCTCCTGCTGTGGCTACACCTTTGTCCTACAAAAGATAATCTGCTTCTGCCATCCGCCTCTCTGTAGTACAGTGGTGAGTACGGGGGGGCGAGGGGGGCGGGAAGGGACGGGACTCCTTCCATGTTTTCCATTTTTTCGTGGGCTCGCCGCATTCCAGCATGCCACCGTCAGTCGTAAATCGCTCGCTGACACGTAACTGCACACCCGTGAGAAAACGCTTCAGCGGTGCGGTGGGGGGCGGGGGGGGGGCTGACTGGCACGCCTTCAGTGGTGGAGTTTGACAGTCTTGTCGCTCCTACTCATTCTGCTGGCTTCCAGCACCGGTTTGGTTGGGACTTGTCCTTGCTGTCGGCCTCTTCGTCACTAACCAATAAGCAGCCAGGCTGCCAATGTGCACTGCCCTCCATTGGACGGCCGGTCTCATGACCGAACAAAGTGAGAGGACCCTCCCCCATCCACTAATTAAACAATTAGCTTTTCCTGCACTATGATCTTGATATTGGGGCAAAGTGGCTATTTATGGGAGGTTTCCAGTCAAGTCCCAGTAGGTATCTTGCTGTTGAAATCTTTATCTACTTAATAACTTTAACAGAATCATCACATAAAGGTTAATACATGACAAGCTGTGCCTTACATGTCTTTGAACGCACAGCCGCCGAGGCAAAGAACCGCCCGACGCAAAGTGGAGCCAAAGATGTAGCATTTCGCTTAGATAAGCCCATAGCCACCGTCGCTAATTCGAAAATCGTGCACTGCTAAAACCATAAGCCAGGCGTTGGAGCAAAATTGCCCCTTTCTAGGTATTAAATTGTGTTGTAGGTCTTGAATTTTAAGTGTTGTTAGTTAGAATTAAAGATTATAATAGTGCATCGATTTTATCACTGATTCGCCTGCCTGGCAGTACATTTCCGGTAATAGAAAATTAACACCCCTCTGACCAATCAGATTTGAGAATTCAGCTGTGCCATGGTATAATTTCCCATAAGCACAAATGTGTAGTGGAAAAAGTCATTTCATAAGGATATGGTATTGAAATATTTTTTTCTAGATGTCTTTGGGTGGGGAAAGGCGCAATTAAAACTTATCCGAGTTCAACCCCCCACAACCCCTCTGTAAATAAGCCCCAGCACAGGAGTCCTGCTAAGCCAGAATGATTGGTGGATTGCTGTTTCCTTATCCAGTAAGGACTTGCCCGCCACCGGCTGAGTCACACCCTTTCCTCATGGTAACTGTGAGAACGGCATGAAGCCCCGCCTCCCAGCTGCTCACTGGCTGCAAACTTAGTGACACAGATGAGCTGTCTGGTTGACTTGGTGATCACATGGTTTCCCATCATCGTCGGATACAAGCCATTATTGGCTGACAGTTAGATCGGCAAGCAAATGATTTTCCTTTCATTTCCCAGTTGAATTATGTCGATGTGGGTCATGCTGATTCGAACAGGTGTTCCCAAAAATGAAGAGTATGGCACAAGGATAGTCGCAGAATGCAACTTAAATGCAGAAATCACAGCTTGCATGATGAACGCTGGTTCTCTTTTGCTGATGACCGTGTTCATCTTAATGTTACAGCAGATGAAGTTTCAAAGCATTTCTAAAGTGCAGGCTGAGCCCTGTGATTTTGGTTCAGTATATAGAAATTTTAATTTCATCCTTTCCAAGCCTGGAAACATGGGAGAAACTTAATTAGCCTCGTTTATAAAAGGTTCACGTTCCTTGTTCTCAGTCTGCACAATTATAAGGAAATGTGTCAGGCGTTTCTCCGAGCAAGTCTGACGAGTGCCTGGACTCATGAAACGCACTCGGCACGTCCCCGGAACGCTGTGTGCTTTCCTGAGCATGCCGGCTGCAGCTTCCGGTCACTTCTGTGCCGAGTCCCGGGGGCTTGCTGGCCCCCGCAGGGTCTCTCACCCCGTGGTGCAGCGACTGTGGCTGGACAGAGGTGTTCGTTTGTGGCCTGCACCGCAAACGAGGTTAGTAACACGGCCTCCCCCCCCACAACCCGCCCCACCCCACCCCACCCCAGGGAAAGCTGAGTTAATCAGATTGTGTTCACTCACAAAATATGAGGCCGTATGCCTCCGTTGGGGCTTATTGCATATAAAATATTCACCGCACCTTCTGTTGGATGGGGGTGTGTGGATGCTGCCTTGGTTAGATTTGGTTTATTATTCATATCAAATCAAAAATGGATTGGGTGGCTGTTATTGTTTAATAGTGCGGCACACTTCTTCATGCACAGTCACTTCTGGGTCTCACTGGTCAGCTGCTGTTGCCTTTTATTTTTTCTGAAGAAACTAGTTTAGTCCTAATTCTGTAACGTGTTCCGAGTCCGCAGCAGCAGTGCGATAAATAAGGATGGAAGTCCTGAGATCAGGTGTTTAGGCGCCATGCCACTCTCTGGCTCTGGTGGTTTCGGGTCAGATTGACTGGGTCCAGGTTAGTGTTGTCAAAAGTACCGATAGAATCGATTCTGTTTGTATAAAACTGTTTCGATATTTTCAAGGTGTTGACTCTACAGCCCACACCTCCTGTTTGCTCTGATGACTGAGGCTCGCAGGCTCCCAATGCGCACACCTAGACCTGCACCTAGACCTGCAGTCTCGCGCACAGGGTGTTACTGAGATGATTAGCTCTGAAGTGTCAGAACTTTCTCCGTTGTGCTTAATCAACAAAGAGTTTAGCTGGAGGGGTGTCTAGAGATACTTTGTGCTAAATGAAGACCGTAAACCAGAGGACGTTTAGCAAGGCTTTTTTTTTTTTTTTTAAATATAGTGACATCAGTTTACAGGGATGTAAAGTTTTTACTGCAAACAAAATTGCATTTGAAATTTTTCCATCGCTTTAAATTATGTTGAGTCTCGAATTTCAGTATTTTTCCTGGTATTGTATCGAAATTTGAAATTGTGGTGTGGTGATAGCAGTAATGCAGGTTGAGGTGGAAGCGCAGGGCAAGCAGGGAGCGCAGGCGAGACCCCAGCAAGCGCCGGAAACCATGCCAACTTTGAAAAACTCGTTTCACTTCTTGATTAGCGGCCTGCTAGTTGATTGAGAGCCATGCTGTTTGTGCTGCTGACATGCACAGGAGGTGGTGAATTGCGATGCGGGGCATGCACCACACGATGCACGACGGAAAGTGTGGATGAGGGAACGCCGGCTGGTCCGTAATTAAGTCACAGCTCAGGTGAGGGGCTGGGGGGAGGGGGAGGGGGAGGGCTCCTCACTGTCTGACAGCTTCGCCCGCAGGGAAAAGCCCATAAAATCAAGGAAATCTGCCTTCTGCAGCAGACACTGGAATCATTAGTTGGGTTAACAAGGGTTACTTGGATACCAGAGCCCACTAGTGCATGTGCTAGTGACATACAGAAGCAGTCAAAAGCTTGCACACGCCACCTACAAAGGAGAGTGATATTGTCATATGACCTGGTCACCTGACCTGGTCACCTGACCTAAACTCAGTACAAATGGTTTTGGAGGAGTTTGTCCAGAGGGTGAAGGAAAAGCGGCCAGCGAGTGCACAGCATATGTCGGAAGTCCTTCAGGACAGCTGGAAAAGCATCTCCGGAGACCACAATGAAACTGGCATAGAGGAGGCAGTGGGGTTAGGGGCCTTGCTCAAGGGCCCAATGGTGGGATCACTCTGCCGATCCAGGGATTTGAACCAGCAATGCTATTTTACAGTTTCGATGTCTTTGTACTATTCTTTACATTTTAGAATAATTATAGCCTCTCTATGGGTAGGTGTGTCCAAACTTTTGACTGGCACTAAGTAATGTGTGTGTCCCGAGTCGACGTGTTCTCTTTAACGCCTTTAGGGTGGCTTTGGGCCTCGTGTCCTTAAGCATGATTGGGGTGGGGGGGGGTGTTTTCGCAAAGGCACCTGCAAAAAGTCCTCGGCCCGGTCGCCCGTTCGCTGTCCTGGGCCCGGTCGCTCTTCTCACCGCGGTCCCAGAGCTCGTCGCAGTGCCTGAACTTCTCCGGATGAATTGATTCTGACTAATAAAGAACCGCTGTTAGCATGGCGCCTCCGCTTCCTGACAGAACCAGCCCTGCCTGGCCACCAATCCACAGGCCCCTCAGGCGTGTCCAATTAAACAGTCCATTTCTCTTTTTTTTTTTTTTTTGTAACCGTCTGTTCAGAATTATCTGGCTTAAGTCCATCTGGTGAAATTTTTCGATGCCTTTCATCTGTTGCTTAATGTCTGAGCACATATAATATGTTTAATGTGTTTTAGATACAATATGCATATTTCTAAAATAAACAGACCTTGGCCT